AAAGATGTGGTTGAATACTGCAGATCATGTCATACTTGTCAGGTTGTAGGGAAACCAAATCAGAAGATACCAGCAGCTCCTCTTCAACCCATTCCAGCATTCGAAGAACCTTTCAGTCGCGTTATTATAGACTGCGTTGGACCTCTGCCAAAGACAAAATCAGGTCACCAATACTTGCTGACAATCATGTGTGCGTCAACAAGGTTCCCAGAAGCTATTCCTCTTCGCAATATCAAGACTCCGAACATCGTCAAAGCCTTGACGAAGTTTTTTACATTGTTTGGTCTTCCGAAGTCTGTACAGTCTGACCAAGGAACCAACTTCAAGGCTGGAATATTCAAACAAGTTACTTCAAAGGCCTAAGCCACACCCCTTTGGGAACACAGCGTCTCATGCGGGGTCAATCAGAGGGCACGCACGAGAAAATATGATGTAAACAAGCTCTCTATAACAAAGTCCATCTAGTAAATTTGATATCTCTTTGAATACGAGCCCCTGGCTAAATGCCACTCCTTCAATTCCCATGCCCTTCATACGCAAGAGGTACACCTCAAATGCTAGCATTTACATTCAGACATTTTCTCGTGTCTATTTTTAAATTTACTATTACTAAGCTGTTCAGGGGACTTTGGGCAAAACGAATTAAGGTGTTAGAGTATGGATATCCTCAGAGGGGTAGCTAGGGGGGTGCGAACCGCACCGGGACACCAACTTGAAAAATTGCATATTTTGACAGAGCACACACTGCTCGGTCTAACAGAGCACACACTGCTCGGTCTAACAGAGCACACACTGCTCGGTCTAACAGAGCACACACTGCTCGGTCTAACAGAACACACACTGCTCGGTCTAACAGAGCACACACTGCTCGGTCTAACAGAGCACACACTGCTCGGTCTAACAGAGCACACACTGCTCGGTCTAACAGAGCACACACCGCTCGGTCTAAACGAATGTCATAAAAGGATAACCGATCACATGTCAATTGTCCGCACATGTAACCAATGCAAATGCGTGCTTTATTAAAAGTTCAAGGTTGATGCATCATAAGTGTCAATGACCCTATCATTAAGTCAGGAAAACACAGTTCTGACCAGAAGCTATAGTTGTCTAAATTTGAAGAAATAAAGCCTTCTGTTAATACCAGATGGGCATCTTAAATGTTCTTAAATACATTTACCTTCTGACCTTAATTTGTTTTTGTTCTTGTCATTGTTATAATATAGACCTATTTAAAAAGAAGAAATCCATCGTGGAAGTCGGTGGATGGGGTAACACAATGAGTATACCGCACCGGGTGGCTCCTTTCTCTCCCCAAATCTTAACATACCTGATGTGGAGTGATAGAAATGGCGTGATGCACAGTGGCGTACCTTAACTTAATGCCCCTAGGGAGACCTCGAAAATAGTGTCCCCTCATACACATATAAATCATATACATAGTCGTTAATAAACATTTAAACCAATTGCCGCCCTTGTCCGTAGCCGATTGCCCCCCCACCCCCACCCTCTTAAGCCTTAAGTACACTGCTGGTGAACCCCCCCCCCCC